GATATCAGCCCGAGTCACAGAACACAATCACCATAACCTAGTCTCATGATTTAACATATTATACACTCCCTCCCTTGTATTACTCTTGGTTATTTTGAGACAGGTATTTTCCACTTGTAGACATATTTAAAAGCATGTCATAGGTGTTCTAAACAGATTTCTCTTCTAAAGGGTAATTATAATTCATACAAAACTTTGCAAATGCCCCCAATATGGTGTCATTTATAAAAATAGAATCTTTGGTGCTCTCTGGCCTTGATTGTTTGCTTGTAAACATTTCATTATCCAACTAGGGAACATATTAGTACTAATATAGGTTTGCTCCCTGTTTATGTTCAATAACTTGCCCTGCCAGTATTGGTGGAAGTGTAGTTTTCTCCTTGGTAGTTCTTTCATTAGGGTACTGTTTTCTACCTGATTTTTTTGCCTGGTGTTAATCCTTGCTTATCTGGGTGTTGATTGCTCCAGGGTATGTGTTCTGGTCTTTTTATTTTCTTCTTAGCTTTCTGTTATCTCGTTTGAATGGTTTTTTAATATGGTTTATTTCTATGTGTCTATTGATAGCTTATTTGTATGAATGCCACATATCCAGGAATTCTCTAATGTCTGGGGATTTGGCTTGGCCTAGATTGCTCACAGTTCCCCAGCTGAAATTGTGGTTGGGTTTGTTCATACGTTCTGAAATTAAGAAAGTTTTCATTACTGCTAGTTGGTGTTCATGGATGCGCTCTGCTAGTCTTCTGCCTGTCTCTCCTACATAGTGGCTTTATAGTCACTACACTATACCATATGTTGTAGAAGATGTTTTTAATTCTTGGGCTGCTGGATCTTTTGGTTTACATTAAGATGTTTAGTTAGTTTGTGTGCCTCAATGATGCCATATGGTTATAATAGTATGTTGGTTGTTTCTGAGCAGTTTTTGATGTATGATAGTTATTCTTGTCATACCTTGTGTTGATTGTGCTGTAGTAGAATGAGTGGTCGAGTATTTTTTTTGTCGGGTATTTTGGTATCTATTTTGTTAGAAGTTGTATAGATCAGAGTTCACCAATGTTTCTGGATTTGTGGACTGGTGAGGAGGGAGAGGGAATGGTTCCGTATAAGCTGCCGGCAAACATGCATATTTATTTATTTATTTATTTATTAAATTTATATACCGCCCTATTCCTAAGGGACTCAGGGCGGTGAACAGCGAACGATAAAAATACATGTAATACAAAATATGCAGCTCCATTTGTGTAAGCAGCGTGCACATGCATCTGCTGCTCACTTAAATGGAGTGTGCACACTTGTACTTGCCCACTGCAAGTTTTATGCATATTTTATTTATTTATTATTTAGTTATTTGAGGAATAACATTTTTGAAATTGCAAATTGTAACAGAGAAAACCAGAAAGACATTTACAGATATTACTAGGGCAAGTGCAGATCTTCAGCAAGTGCAGATCTTCAGCAAAGTGCAGATCTTCAGCAAAGAATTACATTTCAAAGGCACATTATCAAAAAAAAATTGAAATTCCAAATATCTAAATTAATGACTATTTTTTGTTAATATCCTTTCCAAGAAAAAATTGCAGAATTCAAACGTCCTCTATCAGCTGATTGTAAAGTTACGTTAGAACTTTATATATCATTCAACTGTTAAGAAAATGCTCTCCAACTCCTTATACAATAGGATTTCAGCATTAATGCCTATATTCCCCACTGTAACCTGAATTGTTCCTTACAATTACAATTCCATCATCCAATTTTTCTGCATTTTCTACTCTTTTCCCATTCTAAGAAAAATACTCCTTTTTTACTGGATCCCTGCTCTGTATACTTCTCCCTAAATCAACATTATCATATTCTTGTTGTTCCTGGGATCCTGAAATAATATCAGGCTCTGCTTCTTCTTCATTTCAACTTGACCCAATGTTTCAGTTTAAATCAACAGGACCTTTTCTTAAGAAATTTCAGAACGGATTTCCATTTGGAACTAAAACATTCCTATACATCAAGATACACATGGGACAAATAATTGCTTGTTCTATTGTTCTGGATCTGGAATATTAAAGTCAAGGCACACAGGATCCAAGCATCCTAAAGGGTTATGACTTCAGAGGATTACCACCTTTTCACTGGCAGAATCCCTCTGCTTTAAACAGCTGTTCAGCAACCAGAAATTCAACAGGTTAAACTTGTTTCTCAATGCCCTTCCATATGGATTGCAGAGAAAACCTTACCAGAAAAAAAAAAAGAAAAAAGATGACAACTTATATCAGTCCTTCCTCCTCCTGTCCTTTTTTCTTAAAAGGACAAATATTGCATCCATTCCAAGGTCTCCTATTCCCAAGGGAATACAATACAGGTACTATACAACAGTTTGACTTACAACAGTTCATTTAGTGACTGTTCAAAGTTACAACGGCTCTGAAAAAGGTGAGTTATGACCGTTTTTCTCAGATACAACCTTTGCAGCATTCCCATGATGCCACAATCAAAATTCAGGTGCTTGGCAACTGGTCCATATTTATGTGTCTCAAGGCTATGTAAATTCACCTTTTGCGTCCTTCTGAAAAGCAAAGTCAATGGGAAAGCCAGATTCACTTAACAACAGGGTTACTAACTTATCAACTGCCGCGATTCACTTAACAGCTGCGGCAAGAAAGGTCGTGAAATGGGGCAAAGCTCACTTAACAAATGTCTCACTTAATAACAGAAATGTGGGGGTTCCACTATGGTCATAAGTCGAGGACTACTTCCAAACTAGTCTCCCTTTATCCCTTCCAGAAAAAGCTGGCCTCACTCCTTTTCTATGCAAGTGTGTAATTTTTTCTTTCTTTCTTTCTAGAGAGATGTTGGCACTGGGAATCTACACACTCTGCACGTGCCTCTTTTCAGGCTCAGCCGCATTGGGCTGCATGAGTTCCTCCCAAGTTCCGGCGCTCAGCTTGCAAAGAAACCTTCGGGGCTTCTCTTCCTAGGTCCCCGGGACAGACCTCCTTCCCCTCTCTCTCTGCCCCAAGGGGCTCTTCCCTCGTTCCCCTCCTTCTCAAGTCATCCGGCTCCCCCTTTTCCGTCCCTTCTCCCTCACCTATCCCCGGCTCCATCAGCATCCGTCTTCAGAGCCGTACTCCAGTCTACAAGGCCGCGCCGGCGTCCTGTTGCCATAACAACGTAACGGCCCAATTAGGCGCGCAGCTCACAGATTGATCTCTGGGCGGGGTGGGAGAAGGAGAGGCGGTGTGTGTGTGTGTTTGTGTGTTTGGGGGGGTGGGGGTGGGGGTGGCCAGAAATTTGTCGCCATGTATTGTTGACCGGAATGCCAATTGGGGAAAGGTGGCGCGTTTAGATAAAATAATCGAGGCTTATCACGAGTAAACTCCGCTTGGGATTGTCCCAGTTTCCAGTTTCCAGTTGCCTTCCTGTTCAGGAAACAACCGAATGAGGAGACAAATGGAACGTCGAAGGTTATTTTTAGCGAGAGGAAGAATTTTATGAAGATTCCCGCATCTGTATTTTGATGTGTATGTTTTTAGGCGCTGTTGTATGTCTTTTTCTCTCTCTCTCCCTCCTTCCCTCTCTCCAAGGGCAGCAGGAAAATACGCGAGATAGCATGGATGTATAAAATAGGAGTATTGCTTACTGAACGTTCCTTGGTTTCTTGCAATCTTTTAATTGAGAAGTCCCGATTTCAAGTATTGCTGGAAAATTTAATTTCATGTGTGCAGTCTTCAGGGACCACTCAGTTTCTGAAGAAGACATTGGGGAAAGGGTTTAAATTCTTGATCTGATTCATATTAAACAGTGCTGTGAAATAATATTTCATTTCCCTCGCTCTCAAATCCCAGAAATCTCAGTTTGCACTCCTTGATTTTTTTTTTAATATTTGACACCGAACTAAAGATTGCTATAATACAGTTATCAAACATTTGCATCGTGATCAAAACTATTGAATTGAGATTAAGTGACCTTCACAATCAGTCACAATGCCCTCATTCTGTAGTACACTTTTTCATAGAAATCGGGAAACGGGTTTTTGACAAAGGGAAGCACGGCAGAATTCTTAATCGTATTCTATATTAGCAAAGGGGAAGCAGGAGATTACATTGCAGGAGAACAAAACCATCTTGCTATTAATTAGTCCAAACTGAAAAAGAAGTTAATTAACTGAACATGCCAAAAACCACTGATTTTTCCTAAATTGTATCTCCAGAGACATATCATTCTAAATGAGGGTGTTTCGATGTTTGAACTTTGATTAAAAATTTTTATGAACCTCAAAGTCTAAAGTGATAACAAAAAGAGAATGTTCAGGACCAAAACTTTCAAATTAAATAGGTAGTATAACCTTTGAACTAAATTATTTTAATGACTTTCATTTTTCACCTGCACTCTAACCCTTTGGCATTTTCTTAATGTCATGGTCGTCACTAAAAACCCAGACAGTGCTTAATCGTTAGGAATAGTGTATGAAGAAGAAATATGGATTGCTTAACTCTTTAAGAATCAGTATTTGTCACAATTATTTGACTATCAATCAGTGGAAAAGAGTTGGAAAAGGAAAGAATGCTGAAACATGTAGAAGATTTAGAATCAGAATAGAGCTGGAAGGAACTTTGGAGATCTTCTAGTCCAGCCCCGTGCTAGAAATGAGGCTTTTTAATGATTTGCTTTTCTCTTCATGATTAATAATAATAATACTACATTATGCTACTCAAGTCTCAATGATTTTGGGTGGTTTGCAGCAATCAAATTACAATAAAATAAACAAAAAAAAGAGAAAAGATGGCAAGTTCAGAGGCCTCACTGTTCCTTGGCAAAGGTCTGGATGAAGAGCCAGGTCTTCACAGCAATTCTAAACGAAATCGCATTGGGAACCATCTGGTTCTTGGGAGGAACCTTGTTCTGGAGGGCAATAGTGCTACAGAGAAAGCATACTTCCTGGATTCTGAGACATCACATTGTTTAATCAGAGGATTCTGGAACACGCCTGGGCAGATGTTATGGGAGACAAGCAATCCCTCTAGTAACCAGAAAAACTATCTAGCTGGCAAGCGAAACATTCATTCATGGAAAGTTTGCATTATTATCTGGTTGTGATTGTTTCGGGGATGTTAAAATGGGCAAGAGCACTCAGGTGGATGTTTTTACCAAGTATATGCAATGTGCTATATAGATTTAATAACTGCATTTGTAATTTTCAACATAATTCTTGTAACTTATGTTGTCTTATCAAAATAATGTTACTCTATAACTGGATATTTATTTAATTAATTTTTAATTAGGAGCACTAGAACCTCAGGCCAAAGTATTCTTTAGAAGCTCCATTTCATTCACATATTGCATACTTTTATTTCCAGTTTGATTTTTATTTATTTTCTTTTATTTATTTATCAAACTTAGAAACTGCCCATCTAAGTTTCTACAGAGGGACTCTATAGAAATCTAAACTTAATGCATGAAAAGTTTCAATACAGTATGAATTGTGAACTAAATCGTATTTATTTGTTAATGCTGTTTAATTTGTAATGTCTGTTCAAGGTCTCCAGCATCTCATATGATACTCTGTCTTACATGTTACAGTTCATGGAATAAAAAAGAATTGTTCTAGTTGAACTAAAAACCCATATAGTCCAGCAACTAAAGATCACCCAGATGTGAAAGCCCAGATGTAGGACACTGTCAAAACAATACATTCTACATTCTCACTTATCAACTGTTTCATTTAATAATTGTTCAAATGTACAATAGTGTAATAGTATAGTATAGTATATAATAGTATATAATAGTATAAAAAATAGGGTTTTCTTTTTGCCAGTCCTGTTGCAGCATCTCTCTGTCACATGATCACTGTTTAAGGATTTTGCAATTGACTTGCAACAAGCAGAATTAATAAAGAAGATGAAAGTAAAATTGTAAGTCAGGGTCACATAGTGTTTCACTAATGATTCTGGGAATTCACTTAACAGCCAAAGGAGAAATGAGGTCATAAGCTCATCAAAGTCATGTAATGTTTCACTTAAGCAACTAAAATGCTTAGCAACAGAGTTACTAGTCCCAATTAAAATCTCTAAACAAGGATCACCAGTAGTTACGTATCCAAGTTCCCTAGCTATGGGGCACTTTGCATCGACAAGATTTTAAGATCATAACAGTTTGAAGAGTGACATAGCAAAGGTTAAAAGGCCACTTATCTAACATATGCTCAAAATTTATGGCATTATTTAACATATGCTCCAACTTCTGGAATCTTGGTCCCTGCCACATCAATCTTATCCTATAAAAATATACTTTCAACATTATTCAAAAATTTTCAGAAATCTAACATATACTAACATGGTTATTTGGATTGCTGGCATCTTGCTAGTCTTGGGTCCCCACCCTTATCATGTTCTGAAACAACTCTATAGCTATAATACTCTATAGCATCTGGATAGAACACCTCTTTTCACAGACTTAGAGCAAACTTGACCCTTGCACTCTCACATTATTACATTACCTTCCCTTCAGTAGTTTTGTACCTGAAAACTAGTGCTGTCTCTGTGCTAATCTTCAGGAAATTGCAATGCATATACAAAAAAGCTCTATGGTTACTGAGAGGTGGTGCTAGAATAAACAAGGAATAGGTTGCAGCGGTAGCTGCTTTCTGCATGAACAAACTGAAAATCACATTATCCTGTAATCAGTAATATACTGAGGCTATGTGGGTGTAAAAAAATGGGTGTTTTATTTATTACATTCTGATCTTACCCAGTCTCCAAGCATCTTAGGAGGCATATACACTCTGCATTTTTATGAAAAATTTTAGATTAAAATTTAGTAATCTGTACTGTATTTTATAGAGCAATTCATAGCTAAACAGATTTCGAATCTATTTTTCATTTCATCCATCCTGCCAAGTTTGGTAAAATGAGAATCCCACATTGTTGGGGGCAATAAGTTGACTATGGAAACTGCTTAGAGATGGCTGTAAAGCACTATGAAGCAGTATATAAGTCTTAATTGCTATTGCTAATCTCTTTTTAAGTTTAAGTTTAATGCGATTTATATGCCGCCCTATCTCCAATGGACTCAGGGCGGCTCACAACAATAAAATGCATAATTGCATATTAAAACAATATGAAATTAAAAGTCCAAATTAAAACAGTTTAAAATCAATTTAAAACTATTAAGAAACCCCCCCCCCCATCAGTCCAGGCTACGAAACAACCAGCTCTTCAAATCACGGCGGAACGAGCGAAGGTCAGGGACCATCCGGAGTTCCAAAGGAAGTTGGTTCCAAAGGGTGGGTGTATCCACAGAGAAAGCTCTCCCCCTGGGGGTCGCCAGCCGACATTGTCTGGCCGACGGCACCCTGAGGAAGCCCTGTCTGTGGGAATGCACTGGGTGAATGGAGATTGTTGCTGGCTGCAGGGGGTCCGACAAGTATCCCGGGCTTAGGCCATGAAGGGCTTTATAGGTGATAACCAGCACCTTGAACCTCACCCGAAGGGCAACCGGTAGCCAATGCAGGTCGTGCAGGAGGGGTGTAACATGGGAGTGTCGGGACACTCCCATCACAACCCACGCGGCTGCATTCTGCACCAGTTGAAGCCTTCGAGTGGTTTTCAAGGGCAGCCCTAGGTAGAGAGCGTTGCAGTAGTCAAGATGGGAGGTGACCAGCGCATGAGTAACAGTGCGTAGGACATCTGGTCCAAGTAAGGGCGCAGCTGACTCACAAGGCGGACCTGGGCAAATGCCCCCCTGGGCATTTAGATCTAAAGACAACTTTAATCATTCTTATTTTGAGCTCAGATCTAGATACTTTACATATTTCACTAAAGGGAGTAATATTCAAGATGGCTGAATAATGATCATAAAGTTATTATTCAGAACAGTAATACTAAGCAGAATGGTGATCTCACAAGCAACCCCCAGTGAAAATCCTAAATAGGAAATACTAGACAGCCTGTGCTTTATTGGGCCATCATTTCAAAAATAAACAAAATGACAACAGGTGGACAAAATAACACTGGGAGTGGGAGTGACTTCTGACTCCTTGCTGGCTTCCTCATTGAGTTTCCTTGTGTGGGAAACTGGCAGGGAGCATTGGAAATCCTCCCTCCCTCCTCCTTTCCTTGCCTCCTTCCCTGTCACCTACTCTCCTCCTTTTCCCCCCTTCCTTCTCCTTCCCTTCCCTCATCTTCCCCCTTCCTTCCTTCCTTCCTTCCTTCCTTCCTTCCTTCCTTCCTTCCTTCCTTCCTTCCTTCCTTCCTCTGGCAGATCATTAAGCAGGATTGTGTCTTAACTATGACTGCAACATCCTGCTGGCTTGTCAAAAGGAAAATCAATCAGGAAGTTGCACATCCCAGGAGCACTAGGAATGGCCACTGCCATTTGTGGGAAGGTACACCAGTGCTTGCCATAGTGCAGCACAAATGCAGCCAAGCCAAATTGAGAATAGCTGTTGCCAGCTCTGGAGGATGCACAGGTGGCTGCTGTCACTACACTACAGTACAAGATCTACACAGCCACGTTCTTCAGGAGAACAAGCAGAAGGAGTGGGAGTAATCTTACTTGCTGGCTTTCCCATTTGCTTGTGGAAAACCAGCAGGAAAGCTCACAAGTGGCAATCATGAAACTGGTACTCTCAACTATTGTTGTTAAGTGCAAGCCAGCTGCTTAGGGCTTGGAGTGTGATCACATGTCTGTGGGGATGATGGGACAGCCAGAACTTTGATAACCAGTCATAAGTACTACTAAGTATAGCTTCATCATAATTTCAAACCATCACTTTGAACAAGTAGTCATTAATTGAGGACTACTTGTGTTCTTTACTAGCAAGCTTGTGGTTATATTATGGCACGGGATACTAAAGTAGTTCAATTAATTTTGGTCACAAAGTTTTGATTTAAAAGATCTTTAAAATGGAGAGGTTGGGATCATATATATAAATGCAACTGTAATCATTTGTCTCCAAAATGTGAACATACAAGTTCTTAAAGAAGAAAATACAGCGGGTGTTTGATTGGGTAGTCACTACATTTTCCATATGTTTCCCATAACTGCAATAATTAAGAAAAACACTCCTTTAATGTATAAAAAGTAATGAATGAAAACTTCAAACTAAAGATCACCATAGAGTGAAATCTGAGAAGAATCTGAGATGCATGCCCCAAGTAATACACTATCTCTTTTGGCCTAAAGAAAAACGAGTTAATTCCTTCTCCAGCTTATGTGAATACTATTATGATCTACATTTTTAATATTCTCCAAAATATGATCAGTGTTTTAGGGATTCAACTCCTATCTACAAAGTGTTATTTGAAACAATCCAAACAAATATCTTTATGGATTCAAGCCTTACACAAATGGTAGGGAAGCTGCATCAGAACCAATGAGCTGGGTTTTTTTTCTGTCTCAGTTAGGATAGCAGGAGTGTGGGTAGAATTTTTGCAGTGTAATGATATGATAGAAAATTCAGTCGATGTAACTATTTCCCTGTACTGTAGAACTATTCTACATGCTACATTTGTTCTCTTCATCTCAAAACCTCATTAGAGAATTAGAAAGAAAGGGAGAACTTCCACATCTAAAATAGCTCAGAGAGACTATATAGATAATTTCCAGCAATATGAGTTAACATTAACGAGGGATAACATGAAGGTAGACATTAAAACAACAGCCCCTAATATGCCCATCTGCTTGGTTGCTTCTGGGATTTTCATGTGCTCACAGCATTTTCAACTAATAAGGATTTACAAAGCTTCTAAATTCTGAGATGGAGGAGTTGTAAAAGTAGAGTGTTCATATAGCAATCAAGGCTTTAAATGGGATGGAATAAAATTGTCATAAATTGCAACAAGAAAATTAAGTAATATGCAGGTATTTACTCTAATTCATAGATACTATAGATTCAATCGATAATCCTGTAATAGTTTCCTGTCAAATTAATGCACCTGAATTCCATACAATCATATTTGTAAATATAATGTTATTAATCAGAGAGTCATTGTTTCCTTGTCCCTCCCACCAGAAAGCTTTTGCTTTAGTGTAGAAAATGAAATATCCTAGCAACAGAAATGCTTCCTTTGATATCTGAACCTACTTTAACAAATGCAAAATAACTCCATTTGTCATAAAGAAGTTATTCTCTTC